AACAAAACAAAAAAACCCCCCAGCACTTGCAGGCAGTTGGAGCTGCGTCTGGCTGACTGGGCCCCGCCCGCACAGTGCAGGGCAGGGTGACAGCTCCAATAGCCCCAGTCTGAGCCCTTCTGCCCCTCTGCTGTCCTGTGCTGCCCCGGGGGGCTCTGCTAGGAGGCCCCAGAGCCCCCCCAGCCCCTGCTGTCTATGGGTGTCATTTGGCCCCCATTGGGGGGGCTGTACCCTTTGTGTGGGTATTGAACCCCCAGTTGGGGGGGCCATACCCCTTGTGTGGGGACCAAACCCCTTATGTGGGGGCCATCACCCTGTGGGAGTGCAGCAAAACATGTATTCATGAAACATATATTTAGAGTTCATTTTATTATTATGATAAGAGACTTGCTTTAACACTGTAAGATATATCAATAAAACATTGTCCAACTGATCACCATCTCTTTCTTGCTCTCTGTTTTATAGTGGTCTTTTGTTTTACTTGTGGAGGAACATGGATTTGGGGGTATTTTACAGAGTGACTTTGGGATTTTTTTTAATCAGGGATTTTTCAGTTTTCCAATAGGGAAAACCAGAATTCCTGCTAGGGAGGCCAGTGGCAGGCCCTGCTTGCTCAGAGCTGGCACCTTGGACCCGTCTGGCGGTGTGTTGGCAATAAAAACCTAGGATTCCAGACTAGCCCAGGGATTGACATGACACCTTGTTCAATTAGTGACAGAAAAGCTTTATTTACTACAAGTATTTAAAATCAAGTCAAGTGAGCCCAAACTAAATCAAAGTCCAGTAATTAGCTATAAGGTGATGATTTCTCACCAAACAGGTGACGAAGAGGCAGTTTGTTTCTCTTCAACTTCTCGAGTAAGTCGGATGCATCAGCAACTGGTATCAGAGAGATTTCTCACTCTTGAAGCGCGTGCACTGTTTGCTGTTTTACTGCCTTTTTATACCTTTAGTTTAGCATCTTCAAAGCATTCTTTTAGTTGTGTAAATCAAGAAAGAGTCCCAAGCAGTAATTGACAGGAAAAACCTGTTCATTACTGGTTATCAGAAATTTTTAATTTGAATGAGTTACCTTCTTTGGTAACAAGAGGTTATCCAGTTTAAAACATATCAAGAAACTGATTAACAGCCAGGAAAAACATACTAAATCGGGAGGAGACATCTATTACATATGGAGAATGTCTCTTCCTGCACATAAACACGAGTTAGTCGCAAAAGAAATATTTACCATACTAATTAATTAAGGATAGACATTTCATATGATTACACACCAGACAACTAAGAGTCTGCTTGAAATCATTCTGAATATAGCAAGATAAGCTGGAAGAGGTACTTCATTATTCCTTCTTAGATGGCCTAGCCATGAACTCACATCCTCTTGCAATATGCAGTTAGCATTATTATTCTGCATTTTATCTCTTGTGAGTAGGCCCAAGCTTAGCATGAGTTTCAGAGTCATCACTGTGACTGACCTCCTGGACAAATAGGACCAGGAGGACATGTTTTGACAGTTCAAAGCAGGCTACCACACCTGGGTGATAGCTGCCCAGATGGCCTGGCAGGGGGCACAAATGGCAGTAGTGCCGCACAAAGGCCAACCCTGCAACCACAGTCCACTGGCAGCTGGCCCCGAGGGGCAGATGCCTCTACTGGCTCCGCACGCCCCCCCGGCAGGTCACAGCCAGGCAGCAGCCCCGACTGCCAGACTGCTGCAGTGGGTAGAGGGTGCAGGGAACTCTCATGGCTGCTTCAGCAGTCCAGCTGGCACAAGGGGTAGTGTTCCTAGGTACCAGTTGGCTAGGTCCCAGAAGCTCCTGAGAGCTAGTAGCCCTGAGCTACTTGCCAGGGTGGCTTTTTATACTGCTGGGGCCAGCACAGGTGACTTGTGCCTTACACACATGAAGTAACAGCTATCACTTGTGACCCTACTTTACGTATCCAAATAAAAAAATAGGGGGGGAAAGTGTCACATTAGTTGTTAGTCTGAGGACAAAAAATAAGTACCCAGGAGATTGACAGTTGGGTCTAATTACCAGTGGGAAAGTTATCAAAATTATATATGTTATGAAATATAATGCTAGCTCCTAGAAAACTGTCTGTGACAAGAGGGGTGGAAGACCTGTTAAGCACCTGAATTGATTTATCTTCTGTGTAAATGACTTCTATGTAAAAGACTTCTACACTTCTGCTGCCGGGAGGTCTAAGGATTCTGTTAATCAGTGTCAGGAAATATTACCTGTCAGTGTCAGGGGACAAAGCATAACAATTCTAAAGAAAATATGTCTTCTAAAAACTACTGATACAAAAGCTCCTTCTTGATTGGAAGTGGTTCCAATCCAGTGGTTTTGAATGAGAGTGCTGTTAGTCTGTTTCAGGGGTACCATGCTGCTGCTGTTGCCCCTTTCATGTAGAACTGTCCCAATGCCTCTGTTTCCAGAAGGCACCATTAAGGCTGAACCAGGAAATGACTGCTGTAGGAGGGGACTCTCTGCTGGAGCCCAGCCCGAAGGAAGGTCCCAGAGGCATAAAGAGTAGGGGCGAGGAGGAACACCAATCCTACCTGCTGACTTAGAGGCAATCCCCTCCACCTGGCTGTGCCCACTGTTTCCAAAACCTAGTGGGCACTCTCCCACCCCACTAGAGGGTCCCCTCTGCTTGCCCCAAGCAGCTTGCTGACCATCACAGCAAGAGTAAGTGCCCAATGGCTGCAGTAGCAGTAGGGGCCATAAAAGCAGCCCTCAACATAGATCAGGGAGGGCTTATAGCATACAGCGTACGTGTTGCTCAGCACATGCAGAGGAATACAAAGAGTAAGGAAGAAGATGGGGACATGATGGGGTGAATTGCACCACAGCAGGTGGAAGGGACCCATAGCAGGCATGAGAGTGCCCTCTGGATGTAAGAAACTCTCCTGGAGGATAAGGGGGGAAGGGGCAGGAGGCGGGGGGGAGAGAGAGAGAAACCATATCTGTATCTGTGTGCGGGTATAGAGAGAGAGAGAGAGAGAGAAAGATATACATATACACACAATTAGTTTTTACACATTGGAATAGATAAGTTCATTTGTGAAATGGGGTACCACTAAGCTCAACAAAGCTAAGGGGGGTAGGATGTGCCTTGAGCCTAAAAATGTTGAGACCCCTGCTGCAATCCATTGCACATTTTCATGTTACAGTAGAACTTTACACATAAACCTAAGAGCAGGTATAACAACTTACTGAGCCCTTTTTCAGTATCATAAATCAAGAACTGAGTGCTTTTGTGGGCTTGGAAGCATTTAAGTGAAGGGTTATGTTTTGCAAATGAAAGAGATGTTGGGTTGGCATTCTATTCCCTTCCTAGTTATCTGAGTATTAAGGCATTGCCATCTACATGGTATTTTTGGCACTTACATGCAGGTAGGAATTCTATTCCTGGCTGCATAGCCCTACACATATAGATTACTGTGTACATGCACAGACTGGGCAGGCCTGGTTGGCTGCATACGTGGTGTCTAAAGGCCTTCTTACACAGTAATTTTGGGTGGCTCCTGGAGCTCTTAACCCCTTGATTGTCCACACGTTAACATTTTAAAGTGGCTTTGAGCACTCACTATGTGGCTCAGTTACGCCACTCCTG